AAACCTCCTCAAATTATTTCACGAAATAGAAAAGGAGGGAATACTCCCAAATTTATTCTATGAAGCCAGTATCAACCTGAGATCAAAACTAGATACTCTGTTGTGGCTTGGACATGATGTGCCCCACCCCCCCGCCAAAAGCTCATGTGACAGTGCAAGAAAGTTTAAAGGCAAAATGATTGAGTTATAAGAATTTTTAATCAGTGCATTAATCCCTTCATAGGGATTCACTGGATGGTAAGTGCAGGCAGGTAGGGTGTGGTTGTAATAGGTGGGTCATTAAGGCCTTGCCTTTGGGATATATATTTTGTCCACTTTCCTCCACCACACCCTTCTGTCATGATGTGTGGCCTCACCTAGGGCTCAGAGCAATAGATTCAGCCATCTATGGTCTGAGACCTCTGAAACTGTGAGCCCCCAAAATAAACTCCTCTAATGGTTCTTGTCAGGTCTTTTGGTCACAACAGTGAAAAAGCTGACTAAAACAGACTCATCAAGGAAAATAAAACTATGGACCAATAAGCATGATGAATACAGACATAAAAATCTTTAATAAAATATTAGCAATCCACCAAGCACTGTGGCACATGCCTATAATCCCAGTTGCTCAGGTGGCTGAGGCATGAGGATGGTGAGTTCAAAGCCAGCCTCAGCTACTTAGTGAGGTCCTAAGCAACTCAGTGAGGCCCTGTCTCTAATTTTTAAAATATACCAAAAAAAAATTAGCAACCCACCTCCAAAAGCACATTAAGAAGATTATGCACCATGATCAAGTTGGTTTTATCCAAGAGATGCAAGCTTGGATTGACATACCCAAATCAATAAATGTAATTCATTACATAAATAGAATTAATGAGAAATATTGCATGATCATCCTAATGGATGCAGAAAAAGCCATTGGTAAAATCCAACACCTGTTCATGTTAAAAATGCTGAAGAAACTAGGGGTAGGAAGAACTTACCCAACATCATAAAGGCTATATACAACAAACCCAAAGCCAACATCATACTGAATGAAGACAAACTGAAAGCATTTCTTCTAGAATCAGGAACAAGACAAGGATGTCCACTCTCACCACTTCTACTCAATACAGGTCTCAAAATTCTAACCACAGCAAACAGGCAAGAGAAGGAAATCAAAGGGATACAAATAGGAAAAGAAGTAGTCAAACTATCTGTTTGCTGATGACATGATTTTATATGTAGAACCAAAAAATTCTACCAAAGTCTTGTAGAGCTGATAAATAACTTCATCAAAGTATCAAGATAAAAGATCAACATACAAAAATCAATAGCTTTCCGATAATTCAATAATGAGTCTGCTGAAAAGAAATTAGGAAAGCAATTACATTCAAAATAGCCTCAAAAAATATCTGGGAATAAATCTAATAAAAGAGATGAAAGACCTCTACAATGATAATCATAGAATGCTGAAGAAAGAAATTGAAGTATAACCTAGAAAATGGAGTGGCCATGTTCTTGGATAGACAGAAGTAATATTATCAAAATGGCTATATTGCCAGAAGCAAGCTGAAAATTTAACGCAATCCCTATCAAAACACCAAATGATGGGCTGGGGATGTGGCTCAAGCGGTAGCGCGCTTGCCTGGCGTGCGTGCGGCCCGGGTTCAATCCTCAGCACCACATACAAACAAAGATGTTGTGTCCGCCGAGAACTAAAAATTAAATATTAAAATTCTCTCTCTCTCTCTCTCTCTCTCTCTCTCTCTCTCTCTCTCTCTCTCTTTAAAAAAAAAAAAAACACCAAATGACATTCTTCACAGAACTATAAAAACAGTCCTAAAATTCATATGGAAGAATTAAAGACCCGGAATAGCCAAATCAATTCTGAGCATCAAATTTAAAAAGCTTCTGCACAGCATAGGAAACAATTAAAAACATGAATAGAGAGCTTAGAGAATGAAAGAAAATCTCTACCAGCTGGTCTTTTAATAGGGTAATAATATCCAGAATACATAAAAAACTCAAAAAACTTAACACCAAAAAATTACAACCTAATAAATAAGTGGGCAAAAAAATCTCAACAGACATTCCTCAAAAGAAGAGATACAAAAGGCCACCAAATATATAAAAAATATATTCAACAACATTAGAGATCAGGAAAATGTAGATCATAATTACACTGGTATTTCATCTCACCCCAGTCAGAATGGCAATCATCAAGAATACAAATAATGGGCTGGGGTTATGGCTCAGTGGTAGAGCACTTGCCTAGCATGTGTGAGGCACTGGGTTCGAGCCTCAGCACCACATAAAGATAAATAAAAGCATTGTCCATCTACAACTAAAAAAATAAAATAAAATATTTTTTTAAAGAATACAAATAACAATAGTTGCTGGCAAGGATTGGGGGGAAAGGTACACTTACATATTGTTGATAGAATTGCAAATTGCTACAACCACTTTGGAAAGCAGTATGGAGATTCCTCAAAAGACCACATATGGGACCAGGGTTCTGGCTCAGTGGTAGAGTGCTTGCCTAGCATGCATGAGGCACTGGGTTCAATCCTGACACCACATAAAAATAAATAAAATATAGGTATTGTGTCTCCATCTACAACTTTAAAAAAAAGAAAAAAAATACCATATATGGAACTATCATATGACCCAGTTTTCCCACTCCTTGATATTTATTCAAAAAGATAAAATTAGCCTATATGCACACCAATGTTTATAGCAGCACAATTTATAATAGGCAAATTATAAAAACAGCCTAGGTGCCCTCCACAAACAAATGGATAAAGAAAATGTAGTATATATACATAGTGGAGTTTTATTCAGCCATAAAAAATGAAATTATGTCATTTTCTGATAAATGGATGGAACTGAAGAACATAATGCTACAATGAATCTTGAATACATATATGTGTATTTGTGTTATAAATAAATAAACATATATATATATAATGCATCAACTAAAATAATAATAATGATAATAGAAGGGAGATCAGTAGAGCAGAGTGAGTGGATCAGGGGAGGGAGGAGAGGAAGGAAAGGGGAGGTACTTGGAATGAAATGGATCAGATTCTGTTATATGCACATACAAATATGACATAATGAATCCCAATACTATGTACAATTATAATGCACCAAAAATGTAGATTAAAAATAATAAGTGGCAATTAGAAAACTGGAGCCACTTAAAACTAAAACATGGTTTTAGTTGGTTTTAGCACTGATCCAGGGATTCAGTATAAGCCAAAACTTGTTAGTGGTCTCATACTCCTGGGATTTGCCAATGGTTCTGCTTCTTTTCTTTGGGATAATCCCTTAACTTGCAATGTATGTTGTAGTGTTCAACAAACTTTTTCAATAATGGTAACTGAAGTGAAGTGATGAACTCTGAGATGTAGGAAGGTGATATTGTCATCTACATTTAACAGATGAGGAAACTGACGCTCCATGAGGTTGTTCAGTTTCACAATGGGATTAAGTGGAAGAGTCTGTAGTTAACTTAGGTCTTGCTAGGTGTAGTGGTGCAGGCTTGTAATCTTTGTGACTTGAGAGGCTAAAGCGAGAGAATAGCAAGTTCAAGGTCAGCTTCAGCAACTCAGGCTGTAAACAACCTAGCAAAACCCTATCTTTAAAAAAAATAAAAAGGGCTGGGGATGTGGCTCAGTGGTTAAGCACCCCTGAGTTCAATCTCCAGTACCAAAACAAACAAGCAAACTTAGGTTTTTTTCTCCTTGTCAGAGATTCTGCCTTTTTTTTTTTAATCAATCAAGGACAAGAGTGACTCTTCTGCATAGTGTTCCCTGGGTTATCTCCTCCCCCATCTCTCATGGGAACTTAACCAAATATCGTAGAGAGGAAGGAAATGGTAGAAACTGAAGGAAACATTGAACACTATCCCCAGGGAGGCAGATTTGAGATTTGAGTCTCCCACATCCACATGTGGCCCCTGTGAATAAACTCTCTGTTGCAGAACTACTTGGTCCAGTGATTGGCACACTGTGTAGTAGGCCTGGGACGGTAACAGACCCATGGCTAGATGCAGATCAGCTCATGTGTTTAGGGCAGAGACTGAGGATTAAAGACAGGAGGTATCAGAGGGCCTGTATCTAAAGCTACAGCCTCCAGAGAACTTCAAGGAACAAAGGGAGAATTCAGGAACGGTTCAAGAACCTTGACCAAGGAAGGCAGGGATTTAGGCCAGGATCCAGCAATGCCACTGTTTATCATTGTCTTTCTCTTTGGGATTTTCCTGCTCCAGGGTGGTCTGGCATGAGAAATTTGGGTTGCACAAATTTAATCTGGACAGTTTCCAAACATAATAGGGTTGCAGTGTAGTGGGGAGATAAATATAAACACAAGTATTTACACACTGTGTAAATGTTATAAGATTGTGTGTATGTATCTATCTATGCAAGATGCTTTGGGGGATCAGTTTTTAAGTTAACAAGAGTTGAGATGTGAACGAGACTGAGAGCTGAGTAAGTACAGAAACTTGGAACCAGAGTCTTAGAAGGAGCGCAAATTCTTAAAATTATCAAGGGCATTGATGGGCTCCCTTCTTTCGTGTCAAGTCCAACTTCAATTTTAATCTCAAAGCACAGGGCGATTCCCAGCTTTCCTTGGGCCACACTTGTTTAACTTTATTTAGAATCATAAACCTCTGAGAGCTATTCCTTGGTTTCCCAAAACTAAGGTGGAAAATTGCTATATTCATGTCTCTCCCTGTCCCTCCCACTTCTGAATTTCTTTTGTTTTGCAAAACATTTTTAGCATAAAATATTGACTGGAAGCATATTTAAAACCACAAAATTTTAGTCAGGCATGGTGGAACATGCCTGTAATCCCAGCAACACAGAAGGCTGAAGCAGGAGGATTGCAAGATTGAAGCCAGCCTCAGCAATTTAGCAAGGCCCTAAGCAACTTAGCAACACCCTGTTTCAAAATAAAAAATAAAAAGGGCTGGGGATGTGGCTCAGTTGTTAGGTGTCCCTGGGTTCAATCCAGGTATCAAACCAAACCAAACAAAACAAAACACAAAATTCTATGGCTTGAATAATGGTGTTTATTTCCTTTAAATACCCTTAAATATGAAACATCAGACAGTAGTTCTGTAAACTCAAAAACTACAAGCTGGTCAGGAATTAGAAATTCAGTGCTGATCATACAAATGAAATTCTGCATAAGAAAGAATCAGAATAATTCACAAAAGTTGCACTTAGCAAAGGACTCAGCCGCTGCAGTTTTCCTCATCTGCTCCGAGTAATCAATCACATGGTACCTGTCATTCCATGACAAGCAAACCTTTCTCATGCACCAAAACTTGGGTTCCTCGGGAGCCCTCTTCTCCATTCTTGGATGTGCAGAGGTATGTGCAGCTAGAAGTCATCTGTAAATGAACCAGGAAATTCTCAGCTGGTGTCAATGGAAGGCTGGTTTGGATTCACTGTGGCACTATGTAAAATAGGGGAATGACAGTGACAGCAATTTGGCAAAGCAGCATGATATTTAAAATGACAGGGATGGGGAACTGGAGCAAAGTTGAATCAAGGATTCTCTTGGCTGTGGAGTCCCTGGGCAGCTCTTTTCTCCTTTGGAAAGCGACAATGTTTTGCACATGCTGGTTTTCCACTTGCACATGTTCTGGTGTGAAAAGGGCACCAGTCCTCACAGCTGTAGCCAAAGAAAGTAAAGAAGAGAATTTAGAATCAAGGATGGAGTTCAAAGGACTAACTCTGTTCTGATTTAATTAAATTTTCAAAGGAAATTTTTCAGACGTGTATTTAAAATGTCAATATAAAATCCTGAATGGTTTCCCACATATATTCGAAATTTACTAAGGCCCGGCGGATAACCTCTAACTGTTCTATTCATCAATAAATTTATTGCTTACATAAATCCAGCGACATCCGCGTAATCGAAGAAAGAACAAACAAATACATTTGGACATATATAGTGAAAAAGAGGTCGAACTTCCCTTCCCCCAGTGATTGTTTAAAACTTGTCCATTTAGTTTTTACTTAAGAACTATCAACCTAGCAGGGTGCGGTGGTGGCGCATGCCTGTAATCCCAGCAGCTCGGGAGGCTGAGGCAGGAGGACTACAAGTTCAAAGCCAGCCTCAGCAATGGCGAGGCTCTAAGCAACTCAGTGAGACCCTGTCTCTAAATAAAATACAGAATATGGCTGGGGATGTGGCTCAGTAATCTAGTGCCCCTGAGTTCAATCCCCGGTATCCCCCCCCCCAAAAAAAACTATCAACTCTTGATAGCAAGCAGAATTTTCCTAATTTCACAATTTATCATCCCTCTGTGTACTTTCACTTAATCCTTAGTTGCCAAACCTCTGTCCTACTATCAAAAAGGAACTTGGGCATTGAGAAAAAAAAATTAGCTTAATATGGAATCCCATCAAATAAAAAATGGCATTTGCATTAAATGTTGCTAAGTCAGGTTAAAGCAAAAGCAAAAAAAAAAAAAAAAAAAAAAAAAAAAGCCATTGACCTGCAGGTGTCTGGGTGAAATATCTTGTGCTTCTGGCAGCAGCTCTCCAGACTTTCTTTGCATTCAAAGCAACTGCAGTTTTCTGGGTGCTGGATGAGATTTCTGGGACACGGTGTTTTACAGACACACTCGCAACGATCTTCATCAAATTTCATGTGTGGTGCACAGAGAGCCGGTTCCTGGAGATGAGATTGATCTAAACAGAAACAAAGTCTTCCTTAGATAGCTGTGGCCTGCATAACGTGATCACCAAACTTTGTCACAGATTCTACATCGTCCATAACTTGGATTCACCCAATCCCCTTTCCTATACATTTTTGTCTTTAATTTTTTTCACAAGGTGAAGGAAATTCATCTCTGATTTCATAGGACAAACACAGAATTCTTGTCTTTCTTAGGTTTGTTATTTTTAAAAAATACACATCACAAACTGAATATTTTTAAGATATATTTAAGGATTTTTAGATTGGTGGCTTGTTGAAAATGTAAGCTTCCACAATCAAGAATTAGTGATAAAGCCTGGGGCTGTAGCTCAGTGGCAGAGCGATTGCCTAGCATGTGTGAGGCATTGGGTTTGATCCTCAGCATCACATAAAAATAAATAAATACAATGAAGGTATTGTATCCATCTACAACTAAAACAAAAAAAAATTAAGAAATATACATCAGAACTTTCAGACCAAGCATGGTAACAATGATGTATTTCCTCAGCACAGATAACTACATTGATATAAAAGATATACCAGTGACCATGAACTTTGATTTCACAGATGTTTGCTAGAAGACACACTCAGCCAAAAAGAAGGCTCTGAGAAGTCTCTGACACTCTCAGCTGACAGATACTTCCAGAAGATGTACAAAACCTCTGGAGACCGCTACTTCATTTCCACGTCTAATCAGCAAATTGAAATTCATTGCAAAAAAAAAAAAAAATGAAAGAGACAGAAACTTTAGAAGAATGTAACCTTGTCACATTGGCATTCTTGAAGGTTTGGAGGAAAATCCACAATTCTTCCCTAAATCTGCTTCTTTCCCAGGTTACCTTGTTTCAAAAATTGCAGCATCATTCTGGACTCACCGGCTATACTGAGTTTGACCACCATGTCCCATTTCCCAGAACTTGCTCATTGTTTTCATCACCACTGCCACTTCCATAATTCAGTCAGTGCCTTTTTTTCTTGTGTAGATGGCTGTCATTCATCTCACCACCACAAGTTTTATCAAACACAAATCTAGCCACATCATTCCTCTGCTTTCAATGCCTTAAAAGTTCTCCTGTCTCAATAGAAGCCAAATTTCCCACCAGGAATATAAAACTCTCCATGAACTAGACCCTCATAACCTCCCAGACTTATAATTTGACATATACCCTGTGCTCCATCCATATCAAATTCCAGTTCTTCTTATTTCTCTGATATGCCAGAGTCTCTCAGGCGTTTGTCATTGTTCTTACTCTGCTAATTCCCTGATATCTTTCCCAACATCTGCGAGTTTAGCTAAGTGCCCTGACCCTGTGCATGTTTCCATTCTGTCCCTAGTCCTTCCTTACACTAATTACATTAGTCTGTTTATTTCTGTTTCTCCCATTAAGTAAAATATCATGGAGATTATTAGGGATCAGGTCTCATGGTTTTGGTCAAAACAAACAACAACAACAACAACAAAAATAACAGGCACTCAATAACACATCTGTTGGATTTATTTGGTGTAACAAAAAGGTCCTTAAAAACCTATGTAGCATTTCAAGATATTAATAAAACTAGATATTTGATCATTAATGACATACCAAAATAACAACCTCATGTCAATCAGTGTTATGATTTTTACTTCTAATTGATGGTGTTTTAGAAATTATGTAAAGTGAGTGTCTGGGATAACTCCATTCAGAATTTTGTGAAGAGGAAAATAGTGCATTGTATAAGCCATAGGCCAATGAGGTAGACGTCACTTTGGGGTAAGATGTACTTGACTGATAACTGTGAAATGCGGAAAAGATTTGCATTGATCACTAGATGGCAGCAGATATACACTCAGAACACTTGATCCAGGACCAACTCCATTCTTGGACAGGGTGGCTTAGGGACAAACACACACCACACTCACACACACACCCATAAGGTGTTGGTTGAACTTTAGCAAATTATGTGACGTAAATAGTCTTTACATGGGACTGGGGTTGTGGCTCAGTGGTGGGGCGCTCGCCTAGCACTTGCGGGGCGTTGGGTGCGATTTTCAGCACCACATAAAAAAAGTGAAATAAAGGTATTGTGTCCAACTACAACTAAAACAAAATATAAATAAATAAATAGTCTTTACATCCTTAGAGGCAAGTTAAAAGGAACAGAAGCCAGCTGCAGGTGAACAGGGTGGAACAGCAACTAGTTGAGGAAGATACCCTGAAGTATTGTATATTGATTTCCATCCCTAGGGAGCTTGATGCTGGGTCACCCATGTGTTCTGTCCTCAGCCTTGTTTCATTTATCTTTTTTTTTTTTTTTTTGCAATAAACTGATGGAATTTTTCAAAATTGAAATTGTGGCTTTTTGAGAAAGGAAGAGACACATTGTATATTTTACAATACAGAATCGATACCTTGTTTTTCTTTTAAGTTTAGAACAATGACCTGAATCTAACAATATAAAATTAAATTGTGCTTGGATTCACTAACTCAATTGCACTTGTCTGGCGGGAAGAAGAATCATTGCAGAAAAGACAAATAGACTTAACAGCCACTTATGTGAAAAAGATGTTTGGTGCCAGGTGCAGTGGCACACACCTGTTATCCCAACGGCTCGGGAGGTTGAAATAGGAGAATCGGGAGTTCAAAATCAGCCTCAGCAAAAGAGAGGTGCTAAGCAATCCAGTGAGACCCTGTCTCTAAATAAAATCCAAAATAGAGCTGGGGATGTGGCTCAGTGGTCAAGTGCCCCTGAGTTCAATCCCTGGGGGATATATATATATATATATATATATATATATATATATATATATATAGTTAGATCAGTATATGTCATCATTTTGGTGGGACCACTGGAGAAATGAACATGAACTTAGCCTGCATAAGGGAGTTGTGAGAGATGAAAATCCACCTGTATCTTCACTTCCATCATTGCTATAACTTCACAAAAGTTCTTCTTTCCTTTCCTGCCCAAGTCAACTCATCCTCTTCTCGCTGTTGCTGATTTGATTTTGTTAAAATTCTAGCGGGTGCTGTCACTCCCCTGCTTGGACCATTTGGTGGTTTTCTTTTGACCTTAGCATCCCACCCAAGCTCTTCCAGCAGACATTCACAAGGTCCTTTCACACCACCCTTGTAAGCCTCCCCAGCTTTCTCTCTCTCACATCTGGCCAATACTCCCACTTCATACTGCATATCTTCAGCACCCTTGATGTGAGTGCTATGTTCTCTCACCTCCAGCCCCAAATGCCTATATCCCCCCTGCTCAGACCAGTTCTCTCCTTCCCCACTACTCTTTCCACCCTCAACGCTTGTGTACCCAATGAATCCTTCTCCAGGAATGACCTCTAGAAAAAAAGAAGCTGCTTCACTAAGGTTAAGTCCCCTACTGTGGCAGACCATAACCATGACCAGTCCATCAGGCCGGTTCCTTCACCTGCCTATTTAAGACATCCCTGGCAAAGGGGTTCCAGCTTCAACTCCCTGTAGGATCGGTTGACATCTCTTAGCAACTGCATTGCCATCCATATATCTTCACCCTTTAAGGCATTCATTGTACCTGCATAAAAACCACCTGCCTGTAAAACTGTCTCGGAGGCAGAATTGGGAAAACCGCGACTAGAACAGCTCTGAGCTGTGTGTGTGTGTGTGTGTGTGTGTATATATATTGCTTCCCACAATAACTTTCTAACGCTATTAAAAAATGAGTCGCACAGAGAAAGAATCAGATTGGTTTGACATGGTTTTATAGGGTAAAAGCTGAACAAATGAGTTGATGCTGTAGAGCTGAGCTATTCACAAGATAGCTCTGGGCCATATGTGGCTGTTGAGCATGAAATGAAGGGTCTGAATTGAGAGGTGCTGAAAGTGTAGCACACATATGGGATTTCAAAGGCTTAGCACAAGGAATGTAGGGTGTCTTGTTAATATGTTTTCTATTGGCTGCATGTTAGAATAGTACTGTTTTGAATATATTGGATTAACTAATATATATTAAAATGAGTGGCACCTGTTTCTTTCTACCTCTTTAATATGAGCAACAAAAAACTAAAGTTACGACTTTGATCATATTCCATTGTACTGGAGACAGAGAAAGATTCAAGTTCAATATAGCAATAGGAATGTGGGCATTCCTTAGTGCTTTCTTGGTGGGTGCTGAGTTTCCCCATAACTGATGCATATTCTGGCAGAGGATGGCTGAACAGTTGGTGGGAAGGGTGTCAAGAACATTCCAGATCTGCATAGGCGTTTAAAGTACATGAACCCTAAGTTTACCTCACACCCTAGGTTGAGCTTTCATGAAAACATTTAGAAGGGAGCCAAGAGATAGGACAATAGAAATTAAGTTGCTATTTACAGCTTCTTCTTAAAGTCTTAGCATTTACTCCTTAATATTCTTGCTTCTAGATCATAGTTTAAAACAAGCAAGATTTAAATTGTATGATTCCTTGTGATCCCCCCACCCCCCAGTGGAACCATGTCAAGCTCTCTGGGAAATAAATTTTAAAAGCATTTATTTTCAGTCATATGTTCATCATCAAAAATCAGCATTACAGAATATGAGCAATGACAATAGCCTATCTCACTTTGTTCTCAGTTCATCTCAGCACCATATCCATGTTTTGCTTTTATTTTGCTCTAGTTCCAAAAACGTTTTCCCTTATTCCCCATTTTTTTTAATTATTTGGCATGTTTTTGCATGATGCAGTTGAAGGAAACCAAGCCCAAGATTACTTTATGTTCCTGTGAGACTTTCATACAAATGAATTAGTTAACTGTGGTTGACTAGTGTTTAGTTCTGAAGTAGTTGTCATTAAAATTTTGAATCCAGTGCTTTGGGATAGTGTAATCACTTTTGGCTTTTCTTTGAGATTAAAAAGCAGAGTGATGAATTGGTGGACTCACTCATTACATGATCACAACACAGAGGGCTCCAGAATCTGACCGCTTCTATCATTCTTGGCTATGTGACTTTGAGGAAAATATGACATCTTGGTGTGCCCATTTTGAATTGCAAAAAAGAAATTATATGGGACTGGGGTTGTGGCTCTTGCCTAGCACTGGGTCCAATCCTCAGCACCACATAAATAAAATAAAAGTATTGTGTTCATCTACAACTAAAAAAAATTTTAAAAAAGAAATAATAATAAACGTGAAAATATATAAGATTATGACATTGCTGAGTCATAGTAAGTACTCAATAAAGTTCATTGCTACTGCTTATATTTTTAATACTATTATTATGTCACTATTGCTATCATTACCTTCTGTTCCAGCAAGTGGATTCTCTTCCTGTAAAACACATTTACATTTGTTGTTATCCCATTGCATATCCATAGGACAGAGCTTCTTGGACTGGGGACAGCTAGGAAAAGAAAACAATAAACCAGATTTAAAAGTTTTCAAGAGTAATCATAATTTTGGAACACGAAATAAATTTCTGAGTCCTGGAGAGTTAAGGGTTTTAAAATTTTAAGCAAGACGTGGTGGTGCACGCCTGTAATCCCAGCTACTCTAGAAACTGAGGCATAAAGATCCCAAGTTGGAGGCCAGCCTCAGCAATTTAGAGAGACTCTCAGCAACTTAGTGAGACTCTCAGCAACTTAGCAAGACCCTATCTCAAAATAAAAATAAAAAGGGGCTGAGAATACAGCTCAGTGGTAAAGTGTCCCAGATTCCATCCCCAGTATAGCAAAATAAATAAATAAATATTTTTAAAAATTTGTTGTTTTATTTTTAATCTGTTATACAGGAGTGTTTGAGACCTACTGTATTACATAGCATGGTGACTACAGTGAATAATGGACTGTATATTTCAAAATTGCTAAGAGTAAATTTCAAATGTTTTCACCACCCAAAATAATAATGTGAGAAGAAGATTTTAAAGAGCTTAATTCATATTTATGAACTATATCTTATAACAGTAATTCTACAATTATAAATATTCAGTTGGGAAACCTTTAGAAACCAAGCTGTAATTTAGAAACGTTATTAAACTCTTATAAAAGATGGTTGTTAAAACTATGCAAATTATAGCTGTCAACAGTTTATTTACCAAAAGCAAATATTGTTCTCACATAACTTCTAAGATTACTTTCTTTAAAATAGAGAGAGGAACATTGGCCAGGACAGCAGAAACAGCTTGAGAATGAATGTTCCTTTTCCATGAGCTCTGTCTTCTGCTTGAAAGGCAGAAGGGGGCCCATGGCTCAGCATAAACTAGCATATAATCCCCAGCTCGCTCATTCACTCATTCTACTCACACAATATGTCCACTGTTTTACATCTGCAGAATGTATCTCACTTATTTCATCTTTCATTCAATGTTTTTGCAATTTTCCCTTCAATGCTCTATATTGAATCCTTTTTTTCCTCCAAAATCAATAATCCTTACCTTTGGTTTCAAAACATTTCAATGTCATAATTTGTTTTATAAAGAGTCACAAGGTTATTCTCAATAAATTCAAAGTCAAATTAACTTTTTTGCATGTATATTGGAAACTTGTTTCATTCACCAGTGTCTAAGTCAATTATCTCTAATTTGTTTTAACTTAAAAGAAAAATTTTCCATTTGGAAATCTTTGAGGGAAACATTAGAAAATTGGAAAACTCATATGCTGAAAGTTTTGCCACCTCCCAGTGACTCCAGAAATCCTTTTCATTTTTTCTTTTTCATTTCAGGACTTGAATATACAAATAGCGTGAAATGAATTTTATTTCATGCTTGTTTTGGAATGCTGGGACACATGCCAAATTTGAGGCTGTAGTAGTTTTATAACTGCATTAGACTTTACACATAGGAACAAAGAACTGACAAGAACCAAGGTGTCTACAAGTAGCCATGTTGAGTTCATAACCACCAGCCACATTGGTTCTACCACATCTAACACCTAATAAAAAATACATTTTCCAAATTGTTACTATCAATAGATCTTAGTTTTAAGTTGAAAGATTAAAAAAAACTTTAAGAAAAAAATGATGCCTCTGTAATTAATGAAGTATTCTCCATACACAGCTTTGGCAAAAGCACGAACAAGCATAATTAAGTACAAGAAAGTCTTACCGATCTTCTTCTGGGATCTGGATGGATCTTCTGATAATTGAATATGGGTGGCGGGGGGCTGTTGGCAAGCACTTGCAACCTGTATGATTGGCAACTTTAACAGGCACTAAGTCAGGCACTGATGTCAAAGGCACCGATATCTCAAAGAGCTATAGCAGAAAAAGATAATCATAATGTGTAGATTATTGTATTTTATAGATTATTTTTATTTAAATTTATACATAATCTGCATTTTTGCCTTTGTCATTTGTAGTGGTGACTTCATCAAAGTTGTACATTAAGAGTGGAACTAAGAATGATAAGGGCTGGTACAATACTGGGCTGGGAGTCAGGAGACCGGATACTAATCCAACTTTATGAAGTGTCTTCATTTTTTTTTTCAAATCTCTTAACATTTTGGTGTCACTGTACCCTCATGAAATGGTACTATTAGTTCCTATACTTGCTTTAAATTTGAATATAAATTGTAAGAATTAAATGAGATTGAAATATGAAGATTATTTAAGATCTTGGTGGATTAGATCATTATTCAAACTACCTATCCCCTCATATACTATCTCTGATGAAGAAATAGTTTCTTGTCTCTTGACTTTGGACTTGGCCACGTCACTTGCTTTGGCCAATGGAATGTTAGAAGACATGACACAAGTGCACACTGGAACTGTACATGCTTGGTGGGGCTTGTTTTCTCATGCTTATACTTTTGGCATAAGAAGAATAAGATCTGGCAGGCTTGCGGGTCCAAGAGATGAGAGACACAAGAAGTACATCTGGGTTTACAATGCAGCTCAGAGTTAAGCCCAGCAGAGACCACCCTAAACCAAATGGACCTCAGATATACAAATGAGAATAACTCATTATGTTCAAAGTCATTCAGTTTCAGGGTGTTTGTTATATAGCAGTGTGAATTAATGGCTCACATAAGATCATAATGCCCCCCAAATTCTTATAGCTCACATGTACATCATTCTTTCTGTGTCTGTATGCCAGGCTGTATTATAAGTACTTATATATTAATTTATTTGCCCCTTATTAAAATCATTATGGGGTAGGGTTTTATTATCCTTATCCTACAGATGAAGGAACAGATAGCCAAAGAGTTTATATAACTTTCCAGAGTATTTCTATGATGGGTGAATGAACTTGATTTTAATGCACATCCATTCAATCACCGTCCCATGTTGTTCTTACTGTATACAGTATTCATTTATTCACTGTGTTTCTAATAGGTTGTTCACATAATCCATAACTTTGGGGTGAGAGGTAGTTCTTTCAAAGTATTAAAATGTTCACATATGCATGTTTGGAAAGAAAACCTGCTGTACACTTACACTTAAGGACATTCTTTAATCATTTGTTGAGTACAACAGTCAAAATAAAGTGCTCCATCATCTATTAAGTGGAAACAATCCATTAAGGTTGTGTTTATTCTGACCTCTAACATGTAATGGAACTTGCATGAGACTAAGCAAGAGTATTTTCAGAGTGTTTACTTTGCATAAGCTTCATCTTCTTGCACAATTTTCAGCTATGCTCTGAGGAATAACATAATCATGAACTAAGCCCTCTTTCATTATGCAAGCTTTGTTTTACTAAAAGCTGATGCTCAGCCATGCTTTATGTCATTTTTTTTTTGTAATTGTCAAATGGCAGAAATCAGATTTTCACAAGTTCCAAGATTCTGTAAAAGTATTTTGAAAAAGAAACTCTCCAGTTTCAATCCTGTTTTAGAGGGTAGAAGGAACAAAATTATGATAAGTTAGCCTATTTACAGAACAAATAAGATAATTGCCTAACATGAATATATTTGGTGCCTGTAGAATTTTATTGTACTACTTCTTTGCAAGATCATGAAAAAAAGAGATTATGTTGGCAAATGTGACAAATAAATATATTAACATGTGAGGAATTTACAACACAGGGCAGAAGGAATGTAGTTTTATTTACAGCTTTTGGGTAATGTTTTCCTAAATTTGTTACTACAGTTCTCAAAGGCAACATTTACTCCATTTTACAACAATGTGGTAGCCACAGAAAGTATCCTTATCTGCTGGACAAAGGGGATCTTATACAAAGGAGAGGGGGGAATATTTCTTTCGTGGAGACTGCAGAAATTGATTTTCAGGTTCTTTTGTACTAGACATTCTCGCTTTGCTGATCCCAGGTGCTTTACCATTTCTTCTCTCTTCCTTCAACCCTGTCTATGCCCTTCATTAAACTCTTGTCAGTCACTCCATTTGAGCAACACAGAACTAACACAAGATGATGCAGCTTCTGCTTTTAACATCCTGTTCAAGTAACTTCCAGATGATTTTCTGGTTCTTGACATTATAGTACAAGAAATAAGAGTTCAGGCTATGGAATCCCATAAATCTGAGTATGAAGCTAGGCATGGTGGTATACGCCTGTAATTCCAGCAGTTTGGAAGGCTGAGGAAGGAGGATCATGAGTTCAAAGCCAGCCTCAGCAACAGTGGGGCATTTAAGTGACTCAGTGAGAACCAGTCTCTAAATAAGATATTAAAAAGGGCTGGAGGACTGGGGTTGTGGCTTAGTGGCAGAGTGCTTGCCTAGCACATGTGAGGCATTGGGTTCGATTCTCAGCACCACATAAAAATAAATAAAATAAATAAAAATAAAGGCATATAAAAAGGGCTGGGGACATGGTTCAGTGGTTAAACACTCCTGGGTTCCATCCCTGGTACCAAATACATATATATATATATATATATATATATATATATATATATATATATATATATATATATATATGAATTCCATCTCTGACATTCATCAGCTGTGTAACTTTGGATAAGTAATTTATCTCTCTGAGGTTTGGTTTTTTCATCTATAAAACAGGATAAGAATCCAGGCATTGTGGTGCACGCCTGTGATCCCAGCAACTTGGGAGGCTGAGACAAAATGATTGCAAGTTCGAGACCAGCCTCTGCAATTTGAGACCCTGTTTTGAAATAAAAAAAATCTTTAAAAAGGGCTAGGGATGTAGCTCTGTGGTAAAATGTCCCTGGGTTAGATGCCCCCAGTATCAAAAAAAAAAAAGAGGATAAAATACCCTTTAATTTGTTTGGAGGATTAAATGAGATTATTAAGCATGGTACTTGGCCACAAGGTCATCAATGGCTACCAATGAGACCATCATCAGGGCATTGGAGAGGGCACACTTGCTAACGTCCCCATACCTGTTTGGAAACGTAAGAGGTGCTCGTGTTCATACAGATGAGGCTCTCTTCATTGCAGCAGCCACCACATCGGAACACATTCACGCAAGGGGGCTTGAAGAACGTGTTGGTACTCTTCCCCAGCTCATTGGCAACCTCCACGCATGTCTCTCTAGGGCTGCACTGGGTTCTTTGCCACTCCTCATCGATAACTGTAGAGAGAAAGCTCATTGGGGCCAGCAGATGAAATGACCCTGACATGCCAACACATGCCAGAGTGATGCTTTCGTAACTTTTCTGCTTATTGTACTACATGGGAATTTTTTGGTCAGTTTTTTAAGCAAAGATTATGAAAAAATATTAAACCCCTAATCTGTGTTCTTTCCCATTTATACTATACATTTCATAGAATATTTTATTTCCCTTTGGGGACGTACACCGTGTCCCATACATAATCCCACCGAATCCATCTGGGGAATCTGGTTAATAAGTAAATGGAAACATGTAAAAAATAACATGTTGATGTTATTTATCAAATGATTTACAGGATACAGTTGGATAGCATTTCTTATACTTGAAGCCAGCTGTGGATAGGTTTTAGCAACATTGAGAACTATGTTTTTGTTGATTGCTTCAGCAACTAACTATAGTGGGACTTAAACCTGGCAAGCACATGAATGGGCATTTAAGTAGAACTAATCTTTTCTAAAATCAAGAGTTTTCTAATTTGTAAATGCCCCTCACTGATGTTCACATAGTATGATGAAATAAACCCATTCATTTTAATAGAAGGAGCAATCCTTTGGCCATAGCTAATTTGAGGAAAACAAGAAAAAGAGAAACAAGCCTCTGGAAATAAAAAGAAAATTACTTACTTTCTTGTAAAATAGTACTTGATTTTTTTCTCAGTTTATTTTTTAAGTAAGATTTTTACACTTGGACACTTAATGCTTCTAGTCTTTCTATGACTGATTTTGGAGGAAAGATTCAATTTTATAATAAAACTCTACAGTTTCCCATGCATTGAAGTGTAGACTTTATTGTATATTAAGGATATGGTAAAAATTCTTGTTTCAAAACTGAGCTGGGCATGGTGGCACACACCATGTAATCCCAGTAATCCCAGTGCCTCAGGAGGCTGAGGCAGGAGGATTTCAAGTTTAAAGCCAGCCTCAGAAAAAATAAGGTGCTAAGTAACTCAGTGAGACCCTGTCTCTAAATAAAATACAAAATAGGGTTGGGGATGTGGCTTAGTGGTCTAGTGCCCCTGAGTTCAATCCCTGGTACCCTCCCTAAAAAAAGCAAAACTGACCCCCAAGCCAGGTGTGGTGGTGCATGCCTATAATCCCAGTCATTTGGGAGGCTGGGGCAGGAGGATATATACACACACACACACACACACACACACACACACGCATATGGCTAGGGGTGTGGCTCAGTGGCTGAGAGCCCTGAGTTCAATCCCTTGTACCAAAAACAAAAACAAAACAAAAAAACTGACCCTCAATGATGCCCACCTCTATTGTGGCCAGGCCTCGTGTAATCCCCTCTCTTGTGTGTAGACAGGACCTAGTGACTCACTTCTTATAAAGAAAATACAGTAAGAGTGATGAGATGTCACATCCATGATTAAGTTTTAAAAGAATGCAGTCTGTATCTCTTGCTGGCACTCTCCTTCAATCTTTCTCTGCTTCCAGGTTTTCGTGAAGCAAGCTGCTATGTTGGAAAGATCCATGTGGCAAGAAACTAAGGAAGGCCCGTGGCCAACAGCCAGTAAAGTAACTGGGACCCTCAGTCCAAGAGCCTGTGAAGAAATGAGTCCTGCAAATAACTGCTGAATGAACTTAGAAGCACATCCTGCCCCAGTTGAACCCTGAAATGCCTGTAGTCCAAGCTGACATCTTGATTACAGCCTCCAGAGAGAATCTGAAGCAGAGAAACCCATCTAGTCCATGTCTGTATTTTGGATGCACAAAAACTGTGTCATTAAAAATGTTTGTTTACTCAGGAAGTCAAGGGTCATATTTTTTCACTTATATGTGGAAGCTAGAGAGAAAATAGGAAAAAATGGAGGCCTCATGAAAATAAAAGGGAGAGAGCAGAGCAGAGGAAGGGGACCGGGAGAATACTAGGTAATGAAATTGACCAAAGTGTGTGTGTATGTGTGTGTGTTTACATGTGGATGTGTCTGAACATATAACAACAAATCCCACTACTATGCATAATTATAATGCACCAATACAATTTTTAAAAAATGTTTAAGCAGCTAAGTTTTGGAGTTATGTGTTAAGTAGTAATAGACAAACATGTCTCCAATTTTATCATATCTTTAAAACTCTGTATTGGTCTTTCCCCAGATCTTTCTGAATTCTCATATATGTAAACATATTTCCACTAGAAGGGTTAGAGAGGGCCTCTGCTTAAAGTATACAGACATGAAATTACTGTTTTAAATCTGACCCTAGTTTAAATTATTCCTTTAAACTATCCTTTCTATGTCCTTTTTCCATTTCTACTCCTTAATCCCAATTTTTGCTTCTTCAATTACTGAAAATGCAAAATACAACATATTTGATGGGGGGAGCACTGCTTATACTACACAATTTACCTCAACTTTTTTTTCATAATAAAAATCTTCTATTCTGAGAAATCTTTTTAAATTTCCTGATTGTGACTATTTATATAAAGACACTGAATATTATAAACAGGAAAGATAAGTATTCAATTACGTTTTAATATAGGTATTATTTAATTCACTACTATTAGTCATAAATCTTTGAAAAAAACCTAAGTAATCATCAGTTCATGAAAATTTTTCTTGTTTGAAATTCTACTGAAATGTGGCTTCCCATTCACTTTTTCTCCTTAAACAACTAAGTTTTGAAAGTTGGAGAGGTAAGATCTGCATCAAAATTGTATGAGTTATGACTGATGCTACTGAGTAAGGCCTTGGTAACTCTCCCAGCCTTTACTACTGCCAGGGAATTACCCTGAAATCCATAAAAAAGAGTTGATTACAAATGATAATTGGTTTAACACACTGATTCAATTACTTACTGCTTCTAACTTATAAATACTTTAGACAATTTATCAGGTGATTAGGGAAAAATTTTAGAATTCTCAAATTCCATTAATTTTTATGATTTCCTCTGTAGAAAAAAATGACAATGTGTCTGACTTTTAAAAATCACTTAGTTTTGGTTTGATGGTAATGCTTGCCTTCTAACAGTATCTCTAGATGCACCGCAAGCCTTCAGATAGGTAATCTGGTTAAGGCCATGCAATAGATATAATCATTTACTAGGCAATCACATTATTCAAATCTATAATGCTAGATGAACAATGCTGTAATAGCTTCTTGTATTGTTTTGACATGTCATCAAAAAATTAATGCCTACTCAGAGGCCACACAACTTCATTGGACATGCATTTCATTTGTTATGGTGTAATGTATACATGCAATGGTTTTCTTATAAAGAATATCCAAGCCTTACTGGTGAACCATCATTCCCCTTGTTTCAAATTATATTCATCTCCCTCAGAAGATTGGTTCCAGGTCCTCCACAGTTATCAAAATCTTCAGGTACCCAAGTCCCTTGCATAAAATGGGTAGTATTTACATGTAATTCTCCCATATCCTCTAAATCATCTCTAGATTTCTTATAAAACCTAATATGATGCAAGTACCTCTTATGCTGTATCATTTAGGGAATGATAACAAGAAGTCTCATATATTTCCCAAACATTTTCTGTCCATGGTTGGTTGAATCTACGGGTATGGAACATGCAGATACAAAGGGCTGCCTTTTTTATTTTCTACCCTGAAGTTTTGATTATTTTGTGTTGAGACTTTTCTGCCTTCATTATTCTCAACAATACCAGCGCCCATTATTATAGCTCAGCTTCTGACATCTACTTCTCAATTTTACTAAAAATCACAGAATGTTGAAGATATAAAAAGCTATACATTGGTTTTATTTATGCATGTATGGCAGTAGAATGTTCCTTGTTGTTGAATATCCAGATAGTTTTAATTTTAAAGTAAATTCAGTGATTTTCTTCTATTAAGAAGTCTTGCCTGGCATGGTGGCACACACCAGTAATCCCAGCAGCTTGGGAGGATGAGGCAGGAGGATCACAAGTAAAAAACCAGCCTCAGCAATAGAGAAGCTCTAAGCAACAGTGAGACCCTGTCTCAATAAAAACACAAAAAGTGGGGTGGGGCTGGAGATGTGGCTCAGTGGTTCAGTGCCCAAGAATTCAATCCAGTACCAAAAAAAAAAAAAAGTCTTGTGAGGGTTTCTTTTGCCCTCACATCCCTGAGTTGAATTTAACTCTATGTTTTGAAATGTTTTTGTGTTGGTTTTAGATCTCAAAATCATATTGTGTATGTTTCCCTGTAAAGTAAGAAATTAAACATCAGGATCCTCCATTAATACTGAAGTTGTAAAATGAAAGACACCACCATGTGCGATGGTGCATACCTGTAATCCTAGCGGCTCAGGAGGCTGAAGCAGGAGGATCGTGAGTTCAAAACCAGCCTCAGCAACTTAGCGAGGCCCTAAGCAACTCAGTGAGACCCTGTCTCTAAATAAAATACAAAATAGGGCTGGGGATGTGGCTCCACGGTTGAGTGTCCCTGAGTTCAATCCCCAGTACCCCTCCCAAAACAATTAAAGATACCCTTTTAGTCTCCCTTGAACATCCGTCTGTCCTACTCAAACTTTTGGAAGAAATTGGTACATTTGTCACTATCTGATTTAAAAAAAAAAAAAAGGAATTTGTGTCTATACCCACACACCTACCTTTGAGTGTTTCAATGTCATAGAAAGTTGCCGCGAACCTGGTGGATCGATGGGATGCTGAGCGAGTATCCATACTGGTAAAACTTTTCAGCTTCAGCCGGCACCGCCATAGTTTCCAGTCCTCAGAATGTGTTATTCGAAGTAGCTCCTCCAAACTGGAAGCGGCCCTAATCTGCTGTTCAGATTGTTCTAACATTGATCGAGATGACCGCTTAAAAGGGAAATAGGGGTTGAAGAGCAAGTCACTAAATCTGTTTTGACAAATTTCATTGCTAATACTTAAAAACACAAATAGAACTGTAAAGAAATTAGATTATTCAAATATACATCAATGCCTAGGAGAAATGACATCTAGTAGTTTTGATTCACATTTCACTTATTCATGATTGAAGAGGATGTACTTTTTTCTCCTGATTTCTCAGAACTCTTACAAAGAATATTGTAGCAGATTGAATGGTGGACTTCAAAATGATATGTCCACATCCTAACCTATGCAACCTGTGAACATGACCTTATTTGGGGAAAGGATCTATACAGATATAATGAACTTAATAAGGATCTTGAGATGAGATTGTCCACAAGGACCCTAAATCCAATGTCTAGTGTCCTTGTAGGAGACAGAAGAGGAGAAGGTATAGACACAGCGAAGGTCATGTGAAGATAGAGGCAAAGATTGAAGTGATATAGCCACCACACAGGGATCACACAGAGTCATGAGAAACTGAAAGAGGTACGGAAGGAAGGATTCTCTCTACTAGAGTTTGACACCTTGATTTGAGATTTTTCCTGTTTTAAGCCACCAAATTTATGGTAACTTGTTACAATGGCCACAGAAAAATAATACATATTTTTATCATACTAACTTTGTGACACTAACTAATGACAATTGTTTTCATCTTTATTTGTTAGACACTGATCCACAAAGTTCTGGAGAATCCTGCCTACAATCAGACAAGAAAAGAAAATTTTGAGACTCTGATAACCTGACTTCAAAACCTCTCTGTCCTTTTCTTTTTCTTTGAAAGCTTGTTTCTTATTTTAAAAACGTGACTTTTTCTTATAAAGTGCATTTCTAGAATTTACATTGAAAAATTGCTTTCACATAAACTATATTGACTGAAACAACGTAATTATATTAGATGGGTTTGTGAGAAAAAAGACTCAGTCAATAAAAGGTTTTCAGTATGTAATATCTTTTTCAAAATTGAGGGCTTTTATATAAAATATTGATAAATGCATGCACACAATGAAATACTACGTGATCATCAAAACCAATGATGCAGAGGTAATTTGGGACAGAATGAGTTTATAACCTCCTTGAATGTGCTGCAGAAATAATAAGGTGATCTGCCTATGGCTAGGGCTTGGGATTTTCCCTTGCTGACCCTGGAGTTTCTGGGTTCTTGTTATGCTGAGTGATTGGGATGTGCAGACTGAAGGCATTTTGAGCTCGGGTTTGGTAAGAGATGAAGAGTGGTGTAGATGCTGATAGAAGAAGGTGAAAGGGAGAGATGAAGGTCTACTGCCTGCTGGATGGGGAGGAAAGGGGTGGGTAGAACCAGAGACAAGCAAATGGGACTTTTAGAAGCTTTACTTGAGTAGTGTGAATGGACACACTCCACCATTGCCCCTTGAAAACAGTAGATAAAATTTACATTGTTCATCAGTATTTGGGGAATAGGATTTTTTTAGCAAGTTCTTTTTTAAAAAAAATATATTTTTTTTTAGTTGTAGATGGACACAATACCTTTATTTTACGCGGTGCCGGGGATCGAACCCAGTGCCTCACGCATGCTAGGCAAGTGCTCTACCACTGAGCCGCAACCCCAGCCCCTTGGGATATATGATTTTTTTTTCTTTTAAATATGATAACAGATATGGTAAAAAAAAAAAAAGGTGGGAACTCAGAAGAGGAAGTGTGGTTCAAGTCATATGTATATGAAGATATATATACAAATGTATATGATATATATATATATATATGAAGATCTGAAGACATACATGAAAATGTAAAAATGGTTATTTTTTAGATCAAAATTCATCAAAGTATGAACTTCTGGCCTAATTCAGCCTGTGGCCTGCTGTTTTTATAAATAAAATTTTGTTGGCACAGAAAATACAGCCATGTCCATTTACCTTCATATCATCTATGGCTGCTTCCATGCTACAATGACAAAGCTGAGAAGTTATGACAGAGACCTTCATGACAGTTTCAATCTGAGCCCACCTGTCTTTTTCTCCTCAATTCTTTAATATCTCATCCAGTATCTTTCCCACTATTCCATCTATAATGCTGTCTTTACTCTTTTTAAAAAAATATTTTTTTAGTTGTAGTTGGACACAATACTTTTATTTTATTTATTTATTTTTACGTGGTGCTGAGGATAGAACCCAGAGCTTCTCACGTGGTGAGTGCTCTGCTGCTGAGCCACAACCCCAGCCCCTCTACTCTTTTTTTTTAATACTTACCAGATATGTTGAAGCCTTTAAATCTATTTATGTGTCATTTAAATGTGCTTTCATATTTACCTATTTTCCCCCTTCATCTATCTTTAATGTTTTATGGGTAAAACACATTTAATTGGTTCATCTTCCTAATCACCAATTGTTCAATTATGTAGTCAAGATTTTATTTTGTTAAATCATTAATTTCAATAACCATGTTCATAATTTCAAGTATTTCTACTTCATTCTTCTTCCTATGTACTTTTTGTTTCATTTTCATATGTTCTTAATTTGTCATTCTTGTTTTATGGATGTTATTCCTTTACCTCTTTGAGGGTCAAAAATATTCTTATTTTAGGTATGTCTTCAAATTATTTTATATTTTAGCTTCATGGATATGATTTATATCCCAGTGACTAATTTTATTGCTGCCTTTCTCAGTAATAAGTATCTTGATGTGCTTTGTTGAGAAATTATTTTTTTCCCCTTTCTCATCATTCTTTCCTCATCATTTAGATCCATTAGTCCAGTATATATGTGTGTGTTTAATCAAGGTAGGAGAATCCTGGATGTGTTTATAAGCTGAGGGAAAGAGCTAAAGGAAGAAATTGAAAGCTTATGCATCAGAGATACAACAGGGAATGAGAGGATCTGGTCTGACCTGAGTTCCAGAGATAAGTCGTCACAGTATGAATAGACAAGAAGATGACTCTCTGAGACCTAGGTGAACTATAGGGAATAACATAGCTTTGTAGATTTCAAGTCTGCCTGGGAAGCTTTACAAGCTCATGCCTGTGGCTTCCCACTTCTCTGTGAAATGTGAATCAAGACAATTTTCTGGGAGTCAGGTGATGGAAAAGCTTGAGGAGTACAGATGAGGTTTGTGGGCACTGGCATTGAATTTAAGTGGCTTGCCACAGTTTCTTCATCTAGGAACTCTAGGAATTAAACTGAATAATTGCTAGTGTCCCTGGCAATTCTGAAATTCAGTGACTCTACATTAAGTTCCATTTGTCAATAGTCTCTATTTCCTTATTACCCACTTCCTCTTCTTGTTGGATGGTATAGCCACTTCCTATCCAATTTAATCTCCAAAATAAAATTTTGTGACAATACTGCTTCCATGTGAAGTTGATGAAAGCAACCAAATAGTTTTTTAATGTTATTAAAATACACTATATTGAAGGATTTTTATTTATTGTGATGAAATTTCATCCAATACCATCTATAAATACAGGCTGACATATGCCTTCATAGTTCTTATAGATTTCAGTTCAATTTCAGAAATATTTTTAAACTATCCAACCATGAGAACTCAGGAGAAAATATGAATTCTCTGGATTGAATTAAAGTCAATGAATGGCTCATATGACTTGTCTCATAAAAAATCCAGTGTATACTCAAGTAGTAGGTCATTTAAGCATCCTTTGTCTCATAATTTAAAACCTAGTTTGAAATAACTTAGGAATTACAGACACTTATTTTGCTATTATAAACGGAAGTACTAAATTCAATGTAAGTAGACATCTGACAATGAATTCACTGGGGCAGACATTTACCAAGGTCAAGAATGGCTATCTAAATGGATAGAACTGGAGACTATCATGCTAAGTAAAATAAGCCAATCCCCCAAAACCAAAGGCTGAAAGCTTTCTCTGATAGGCAGATGCTGACTCACAATAGGTGTGTGCTGGGTTTTAATGGATTGGACAGGTGGAGTGGGGGCGGCATGGGAATAGGAAAGACAGTAGAGTGAATTGGACATAACTTTCCTGTGTTCATTTGTGAATATACAACCAGTGTAACTCCACATCATGTCCAACCACAAGAATGGGAAGTTATACTCCATGTATGTATAATATGAAGAATACACTCTACAGTCGTGTATAACTAAAAAGAACAAAAACAACAAAAAAAGAATCGCTGCCTATTGTTTCTAATTGGCTTTCTGCATTGGTTGATTTTTATATAACCAACTTTATGCTATCTGCTTTGGCAAGACAAAAATAAAAATTCAAAAGACTGGACATAATCCCAAAATACATACTTAAACCATTGTTTTTAAAGGTTTTAATTACTAAACTTTTGTCAAATAAGTTGCACTAAATTTCTTCCTATTTTCTAATGGGAATGCTAATCAAAACTAAAATAACTAAAAAAGTAGTCAGCAAGAGGAAGGAAGTGAAACAGGGTTACCAGATCTGTTTTCTATTACAGCAGTAGCTTTCTCTCTCTCTCTCTCTCTCTCTCTCTCTCTCTCTCTCTCTCTCTCTCTCTCTTTGTAATTCATGTAAGACTGTTAGCAATTTCATTTCTAAATAACAAATCATTCTGTGATTTTTTGGCTACCAGAAGCCAGTATCTAATTTGTGAGGCTTAAAGTTTTTGTAACAAAACTTTAGCAATATACTACTCATAGAGTAGACCTACACTTAGAGACTTAAGAGTGTTCATTCCTAACAAGCTCCATAGCAATGGAAATTCACTATGGTTGGCTGACTACACTTTTGGAAGGATTTGGAGCAGAGGTTCCCAACCTTGTCTTCTACCTGGGAAGAAACTTCAAAAAAATACTGATGCTTGCATCTCCTCCTCAGAGATTCTCATTTTATAAGCTTGGATCTCAGCTATGCCATCAGGATTTTTATAAACTTCCTGTGTTAGCCTCAGAGGAAGCTAGGTGAAGAGCATTACAGGAACTCTTTATACTATCTTTACAACTTTTCTGAAAATCTCAAATCAGTTCAAAATAAAATGCTCATTAAA